TGCTTACCTATGCCTACGGATTCCTAAGGATGCCTACGGATTCCTAAGGATTCCTAGGGATTCCTAAGGATTCATATGGATTCCTACGGATGCCTCAGCCTGCCTCAGTTTCAGCCTCAGCCTCAGCCTGCCTCGGCTTGCCTCAGCCTCAGCCTCAGCCTGCCTCGGCCTCAGCCTCAGCCTGCCTCAGCCTCAGCCTCAGCCTGCCTCGGCCTCAGCCTGCGTCAGCCTCAGCCTCAGCCTGCCTCAGCCTCAGCCTGCCTCAGCCTGCCTCAGCTCAGCCTCAGCCCTGCCTCGGCTTGCCTCAGCCTCAGCCTCAGCCTGCCTCGGCCTCAGCCTGCCTCTCCCTCAGCTGCCTCAGCCTCCCCTCCTCCCCCCCCCCCTTCCCCCCCCATTCAGCCTCACCTTGTCTCAGCTTCGGCCTGCCTCGGCCTCATCCTCAGCCTCAGCCTCAGTCTCAGCCTCAGCCTGTCTCGGCCTGAGCCTGCCTCGGCTCAGCCTCAGCCTGCCTCAGCCTCAGCCTGCCTCAGCCTCAGCCTCAGCCTCAGCCTCAGCCTCACCCTGCCTCAGCATCAGCCTCAGCCTCAGCCTCAGCCTGCCTCGGCTTGCCTCGGCCTCAGCCTCAGCCTGCCTCAGCCTCAGCCTCAGCCTCAGCCTGCCTCAGCCTCAGCCTTAGCCTGCCTCAGCCTCAGCCTGCATCAGCTCAGCTTCAGCCTCAGCCTCAGCCTGCCTCGGTTTGCCTCAGCCTCAGCCTCAGCCTGCCTCGGCCTCAGCCTCAGCCTCAGCCTGCCTCAGCCTCAGCGTCAGCCTCTCAGCCTCAGCCTGCATCAGCCTCAGCCTCAGCCTGCCTCAGCCTCAGCCTCAGCCTCAGCCTGCCTCGGCCTCAGCCTGCTCAGCCTCAGCCTCAGCCTGCCTCAGCCTGCCTCAGCCTCAGCCTGCCTCAGCCTCAGCCTCAGCCTGCCTCGGCGTGCCTCAGCCTCAGCCTCAGCCTGCCTCGGCCTCAGCCTGCCTCGGCCTCAGCCTTCCTCAGCTCGGGCATTCAAAATGTGGCACAGGACTGGTGTTATGGGAACACGAAGAAAACGAAGTGGCCTACAGTTGGCTCCTGGCATTCAAAGTGTGGCCTGGGAATGGTGTTCTGGGAGCACGAAGAACACGAAGTGGCCTACAGCTGGCTCCGGGCATTCAACATGTGGCCTGGGAATGGTGTTCTGGGAACACGAAGAACACGAAGTGGCCTACAGTTGAATCCGGGCATTCAAAATGTGGCCTGGGAATGGTGTTCTGGTTCAAAATGTGGCCTGGGAATTGTGTTCTGGTGAGTCCCCGGTTTCCCGGGGGTTTCCCGGGGCACCCTGTCCAGATCCCGCCCAGACCCCCATCGGGAATCATGATGCTCTCTTTTGACCCTACTAGAAACCTATCAGTCTTCGCTGTTAGGTAAAACCATCGGAACTGATTACACAGTCGGCGTCTATTCGTTGATTTTCTGTTGTTTTTTTCAGCGAGATCTGGAGTCCATGACGCATGATGCTTTCTTGAGATGTCTGATGGGTACAGCCCCCTTGCGCGGCGGCTCACGCGGCCCACTGGCGCGCCACGCCACGCTGGAAACGAGGGCGTTTCCGCGCGGGTCTTGCCACGCCCAAGTCACGCCACGCCACGCCATGCTATGTCAGGCTACGCGTCCTCAACTCCGCGCTTCCGCGCTTGCTTTTTTCAAAATGTTGCTCTCGCTGAAGCGCTGGTTTTCTATTCGGGCTACTGCTCGTTCCGAATCGTGCTCCCGCTGCAGCGCTGGCCTCATTTCCGCGCTTCCGCTCGTTCCGAATCGTGCTCCCGCTGCAGCGCTGGCGTCATTATGTCCAGTGCCATGCCACGGCATGGTTTTCGGTCCTTCCAACTAAACCCAAAATCTAAAACATGGCGTCCCGAAGGAACCATCGGAAGGGATTACACATTCGGTGCCGAGTCTTTGATTTGTTGGGCCGCAGAAGCCCCCCCTCATTTTGGGGCGTCGCCACGCCGTGCTATGTTGCTACGCGTTAAGATTCAACACCATGCTATGCCATGTAGTGCTATGCCCAGCTGCGACGTCCGATTGTGCGAGTAGGGAGGAGACCTGCGCCATGGTGAAGGATGGGAGGGAGGGGTAGGACGTCAGATATGACGCGAGCGCGAGGATACCTGCGCCATGGTGAAGGATGGGAGGGAGGGGTGGGACGTCAGATATGAACGCGAGCGCGGAATACCTGCGCCATGGTGAAGGATGGGAGGGAGGGGTAGGACGTCAGATATGACGCGAGCGCGAGGATACCTGCGCCATGGTGAAGGATGGGAGGGAGGGGTAGGACGTCAGATATGAACTCGAGCGCGAGGATACCTGCGCCATGGTGAAGGATGGGAGGGAGGGGTAGACGTCAGATATGAACTCGAGCGCGAGGATACCTGCGCCATGGTGAAGGATGGGAAGGAGGGGTAGGACGTCAGATATGAACGCGAGCGCACCCAGCTTGTCCCTCCCCACCTTTCCCCGCGCCTCCCATGGTGAGGCGCACGGCTGCGCGAAGACGGCCCCCCGAGGCACTCCACAAGCTGCGCTCGGCAAGCACCCCCCGGAGCAGAACAGGGGATACGTCGACCCTTATCCTGAGCTTCATGCTATTGAGTGGGCCAGACATTCTGGGCCCGACTCTGGGATGTTGATGTTCGATGGTGGGCCGTCCATACTCGACAGGGGTGCGTCCGAATAGCCCCTTTGGAGTGCATCCCAAGGCTCCCCCCCCATTCTGAGCGGCCACACTTTTCGTGCGGAACTCGGGGGTTGGGGCGGAATCATTTCCTACGAGAACTCTGTAACAACACCCCGCCCCCAGAGGCGGCGGCGGCGGCGGCATGCTGCAGCCCTCGAACTTCCTCCGGGGCCTTCACATTTTGAGGCGACTTGGGCTACCTCCAGGGGCGGCTCTCTGCGCGCAACCCTGACGTCCCTCCCCCTGATCCTCCCCCTCCTCCTGCTCCTCCTCCTTCCTCCTCCTTCTCCTCCCCCTCCACCGTCTGTCCTCCTCCTGCTCCTCCTCCTCCTCCTCCTGCTCCTCCTCCTGCTCCTCGCCCTCCTCCTTCTCCTCCTCCTCCTCATCATCATCATCATCCTCACCATCGTGATCGTCATCGTCATCGTCATCGTCATCGTCATCGTCGTCGTCGTCATCATCATCATCATCATCATCATCATCATCATCACCATCACCATCATCATCATCATCATCATCATCATCATCATCAGCATCATCATCATCATCGTCAGCATCATCATCACCATCATCAACATCATCAACATCATCAGCATCATCAACATCATCATGGTCACCGTCAGCATCACACCATCGCTTTCACGATCACCATCACCATCACCATCACCATCACCAGATTCCTTCTCTTCCTTCTCCTCCTGCTCCTCCTTGTCCTCCTTCTCCTCTACTTCTCCTCCGCCGCCTCACAACCACCACCACCACCAACATCGTCATCACCAGTATCAGCATCATCATCATCTTCTTCATCATTATCTTCATCATCATCATCAGCATCGTCATCGTCATCGTCACCACCATGATCATCATCATCATCATCGTCATCATCATCACCATTTTCATCATCATCATCATCATCATCATCATCATCACCATCACCATCATCATCATCATCAGCATCATCATCATCGTCAGCATCATCATCACCGTCATCATCAACATCATCAACATCATCAGCATCATCAACATCGTCATGGTCACCGTCAGCATCACACCATCGCTTTCACGATCACCATCACCATCACCATCACCATCACCAGATTCCTTCTCTTCCTTCTCCTCCTGCTCCTCCTTGTCCTCCTTCTCCTCTACTTCTCCTCCGCCGCCTCACAACCACCACCACCACCAACATCGTCATCACCAGTATCAGCATCATCATCATCTCCTTCATCATTATCTTCATCATCATCATCAGCATCGTCATCGTCATCGTCACCACCATGATCATCATCATCATCATCGTCATCATCATCACCATTTTCATCATCATCATCATCATCATCATCATCATCATAATCGTCATCAGCATCAGCATCATGCTTAGCACCACCATCATCAGCAGCATCCTCATCCTCGTCCTCACCATCCTCATCGTCATCACCATTAGCAATAGCACCAGCACTAGCATCATCATCATCATCTTCATTACCATCGCATTCAGAAGCAGTATCCTTGCCATCGTCAACATCATCATGATCCGCATCATGATCATCATAAGCATCAGAAGCAGCATCGTCACTATCATAATCACCACCGCCTTCATCGTCGTCATCATAATCAGCCATCCACACCACTATCAGCATCATCATCATCATCAGCATCATCATCATCAGCAGCATCATCATCATTATCATCATCAACGTCGTCGTCATCACCATCATCAGCGGCAACTTCGCAATCATCAGCATCAGCAGCAGCAACTGCATATTCAACATCAGAAATATTCTCATAATCAGCATGAGCATCCTTTTGAACATCGTCATCATCTGCATCGCCATCAACGTCATCATTATCAATCCCGTCCTCCCTCTCTACATCCATCCATCCTGCCCCATCATGCCCCTCCCCCTCATCCTCATCCCCCGGGTACCTCCTTCTCGTCCTCGTCTTCGTCCTCGTCCTCCGCCTCCTCTTCCTCCTCCTCCTCCTCCTTTCTCAATTGACGTCGGTGACGCCGACGACCACGCCGACGCTGAAGCCGCTGCCGCCGCCGCTGCTACCGCCAGCGACGGCAACGACAGTCTCTGGAGGTCTACAGAGGTCCACGGAGGTTCCAAGGTCTCGGCCAGAGACGTCTCGAGGCTCTATGCTGAACGAGACGACGACGACGACGACGACGACGACGACGACGACGACGACGGCGGCGGCAGCGGCGGCGGCGGCGGCGACGACGCCGCAAGGTGGGGCTTCCTCCAGCCTCACCTCGGCCTCCGGCAGCCAGTCGGCGCCCGCCCGCGGGGCACCCTTGGGAGCGGCCGCCTGCGAGGGCGCGGCCCCCGCCGCCGTCGCAGGCGCCGCCAGCGTCGTCGGCCCTGTCGTCGCCGCCGCTGGTCGGCGTCGCCATCCTCGCCCTCGTCGGCGTCGTCGTCCTGGCACTCGCCTTCGCCGCCGCTGCCGTCGGCGTCATCGCCCTCCTGCTCGTCGTCGTCGGTGTCCTCGTTGTCGTCGCAGCCGCCGTCGTTGTCGTCGTCGACCTCGTCGTCGTCAGCGTCCTCGTCCCCGCCGCCGCCGTTGTCATCGTCCTGCTCCTCGTCCTCGTCCTCGGCGGCGTCGACGTCAGAGTAGAAGGAGGGTAAACCAGGGGTGCATCAACGGTGCTGTATTATAAACCCTTTCGTCCCAAGTCACCTCCTCATACGGCTGGACCTAGGACAGAAGAACACCCTTCAAGAACACGAGACCCTCCGCTGGCCAAACTGAAGAACTTTCGAGGGTCCCCCAGGGTGCACAAGAACATCCAACACGCACGAAGCACGCTCTAGGGCACCCTCTCCGAACCTCGGCCCGACCGTACAGTCATCGCGCTGCCATACTGAGCGCTTGAGAAGGAGCATGGGGGGGGCTTTTCCGGCCACGCAGCGCCTCGGCCACGCATAGGCTCCCCGACCCAGATCTGGGGAACGGCGCGAAGACCAAAGCCCCTTCTGAGCTCCAAGTGGTCCATGTTCCAGCGTCTGGGATTTGCACCCTGTCGACCTGAGTCAATTTTCTTCTATCGGCGGCGAGCGAGGTGGGGGAAGTGAGAAGGGGAAGGTCTTCTCAGAAGGCGGCGGGACTTCTCAGAAGCCCTCGCGCCTTCAGAGAAGTTTTCTGCGCCTTCGGGCAAGGCTCCGACAACTTCTCAGAAGGCCGGGAGACTTCTGAGCCTTCTGAACAGGCCTTCCCCTTCTCACTTCCCCCCCCCGTCCCGCCGCTGATAATAACTCCCTACAAGCAGTCCTCTCGCTGTGGGAAGCGCCCCCTCAGAAGGCGAGCGCACCGGAAGCCTTCCATCCAAGCGAGAGCCGCCTTTGAAAGGGAACCGGCCTCGGCGGCCGCCACACCTCATCCCCACCCTCCTTCCCCTCCTTATCCTCTTCCCGAAGACGACGACGACGACGACGACGACGACGACGACGACGACGACGCGACGACGACGACGACGACGACGACGACGACGAAGGCGGCGGCGGCCGCGCGCGACGCGCCCCCTCGCAGCGCGGCTCGTGAACGCCGCCGCCGCGGGAGCAGGAGACGCAGCCTCAGGGCGTGCCGGGCGGGGCGGACGTCGACGATCGTGGCACGGAAACGGCGTCGACGGTCACGGTGACGGCGACGGCGGTGCCGACGACGCCGACGGTGGCGATGCCGACGAGCCGACGAGATATCCCCACAGGCATCCGAGAGAACTCTGAAGTACGACAAGGCATGGTGTCGAGGTGGGCGGAAGGCAACTAGATATTTTGGGGGTGGGTTCCTCCTGCTCGGCATCCTATCCCTTTCGTCTCCTCCTCATCGTCCTCCTCCTCCTCCTCCTTTTCCCCCCCTTCCGCAGAAAGAGAGACGACGAGCACGATGACGCCGAAAACGCTGACGACGACGACGACGACGACGACGACGACGCCGAGGGGGAGCAAGGAAATCGCGAAGAAGCTAGGGGGGATCAGGAGCGGCCCGACGAGCGAGAATGCAGGGAGGGGTAGAAAGGGGAAGGTGGAAAGGATGGGGGACGCCCCTTCCGCTCAGCGGGGACACAGGAAAGAGCCAGGCCAGCCATCCCAGACCCCCAGCGTCGCATTTCTGTTCATGACGTCGGAGATCTGGGATACCAGAACTGCCGAAAAACTCCATGCAGTCCGTGCCGCGCGACGGCGCGCTCCTGCTCGACAGCCCCACTCCGCAGCGGGCTGGCGTGCGGCGCTGCAAATACATTGTTGTATATATCGTCTACCGAACGGTATGGCCAGAAACCACCCGCAACGGAGCATGTATTGAAACATGTCCCGATGCGCGCGTCGCTCCTGGGGTGCAAACGCACACATAGTTATCATAATGTTGAGTGATGCCGGAATCAGTGGATCCCCCTCTGCCCCGAGTTCAAGGCAGGTACGCGCAAGAAAGACTACGGTCAAAGTGCAACTCATTCAACCAACCGCCAACTTTGATCATTGAGGGGGCACTGGTGAATTAGTCATGAATGTTCGCTAGTCGCTTCCGAGGCCTGGATTGAGGAGGATGCTGGCAGCTCCGGGTTGAGCTGGCATGGTAAGGCCTCGGGCTGCGCACAGGCAGCCCCGCCCCAGCCGCCACCAGCCGAAGCACTCCTGGCCGGCCTCAACAGGCCCCCAGAAGAGCCCCAGCTGGCCTCAACAGGACCCCCGAAGAGTCCTGGGCGGTCTCAACACCCCGGCGCCGCCGGAGGGCGCGGGGCGCCACCACGGCGCTGCCCGAGGCGGCGCCGCCAGCCTGCAAAATTTTCGGAGGGATGGCATAAACCAGGGGCACCCCCTCCTTAAAAAGACTCCAACGGGGGGCATCGAAACCAGGGGACCCCCCTCCTAACCTCCTCCGACCCGCACGCCCACCCCCCCAGTCCCGCAGGGAGAACCTAGGGGGTTCAGAACCCCTCCCCGCCCCCGCCCCCTTTGGGACAATTATTCTGGGGGTCTAGAGCCGCCTCCCCGCCCCGGAAATTGTTCGGGGGAGTCCACGAAACCCCCCTCCCCAGCGAGACGCCGACGACGGCGACGACGACGATGACGACGACGACGACAACGACGACGACGACGACGACGACGACGGCGGCGGCGGCGGCGGCGACGACGACGACGACGGCGACCTTCGACGAAGCCGACGACGGCAACGACGTCAGCGGCGGCTGCGGCGGCGCACCTGTCGCTGGCGCCCGCGCCAGGCGCTGGCTCTGATAGACTGCTGCTAGGGTTAGCTCCATCTCTCTCGGAATCCGATTAGGGATCTACTGTACTCTACCCTGTTATACTCCAGTCTGCTCTCCTCTACTCTCCTCTGCTCCACCAGACCCTACTCTACTCTACACTGTTATACTCTACCCTACCGTCGCCAACAATTCTCTAATCTGCTCTACTTTGCTCCTGCTCTACTCTACTCTATTCCGACTCTACTATCTTCAGCTCTGCTCTACTCTACTCGACTTCTTTTCTGATGTACTCAAATACTTTCTCGATGGGTCTGCGTTCCAGTATTCCGCCCCACACTACTCGACTACATTCTAACCTACTCTACTCTATTGTACCCCATATTACATTATACTATGTGCCTACTCTACTCTGCTCGTCGTCGCCGTCGTCGTGGCCGCCCCCCCATGGTCTTCGTGGTTGTCGTCGTCCTCTTCTTCGTCGTCGTCTTCGTAGTGGTCGTCGTCGTCGTCGTCATCGTCGTCGTCGTCGTCGGCGGCGGCGGCATCGGCGTCGGCGTCGTCGTCGGCGTCATCGTCGTCGGTGTTGTCCTTGTGGTCGTGCGGCGTCTGTCGTGCGTCGTCGTCGTCGTCGTGGTCGTCGCGGTCGTCGTGCGTCGTACGTCGTCCAACGTCCGTCGTCTGTCGTGCGTCGTGCGTCGTCGTCGTCGTCGTGGTCGTGGTCGTGTTCGTTGTCGTCGTCGTTGTCGTCGTCGTCCGCGTCGGCTGCTGGCGGCGGCGACGTGCGTCGTTTGCTGGGGCGGCGACGTCGTCGTTGTCGTCGTTGCTGGGGGGCGGAGAAGGGTGGGGTGGGCGCCGGGTCTCTGGACCTCCTGAATAATTGTCCCCAGGCAGGTGGGGGGGGAAGTCCGCCCGACACCCTTCCTGGTTTTGGAGAGGGAGAAGCCCCCCCCCGCTCCTGCCAGCAGCGGCAGATAGCGCTATTTCAGACCGCCGTACCGGGCTGCCGCGCCGCTACCCGAGGCCACTGCACCGAGCGTGAAATGCAACATGCTCTGAGCGCGGTGCCCTCCGCTCTCCCTCGTCCGCGGCCGCTCTCTTTCCCCGTTCCCCCACACTGCCGATCTCCAGGGCCCAAAGAGCATATCTCGATCGGATCGCTCGGGATGTGGTCCCGAAAGCTGGCGCCTGAGCTCAGCCTTGTCTCCCCACCTGACAGGTTGGGGTCGCTAGATTTCGAAAACAGACCTGGCGTCCCGACTGCCCTGTATACCGCGGCCGCCAGATCCCCAGGTCCACGGAGAATCCCCAGAGACACCCGCCTCGCGCCGACCTGGCCATCCTTCTGCACACCGTGGCCACCAAATCCCCAGGTCCACCGAGTATCCCCCGAGACGCCCGCCTCGCGCCAACGACGAACACAACAGAGCCTGAACCCTAAACTGCACCGCGATACGCGGTCCCGAGGCTACAATCCTTAATACATTGCGACAGGTGCGCGTTCCCGAGGCTAGTAGATTTCGCCCGCTCGCATGCTTCGCTCCGCGACCAAGCACTGGACAAGACAAAATATAATCAGGAGACGGTAAACACTCGCACGATGAACCGTGAACAAAACACGAAATACTCGACTCATTCCTGAATCAGACAGAAAATGATACCGGAGAAAAACCCCTATCAGAGTCATTGTTATATTACATGAGATCCCTTTGCAATTGCTCCTTAGGTTTATGAAGTCTGCGAGGGCTATGAAGGCCATGAGGGCTACAGGACTATAGAGCTATAGCGCTATAGAGCTATATGGGCTATAGGGCTATAGGGTTATAGGGCTACAGGGCTATTGGGATATAGGGCTATACGGTTATAGCTCTAAAGGGCTATAAGGCTACAGGGCTATAGGGCTATAAAGCTATGGGGCTATAGGGCTACAGGGCGATAGGGCACCCGGCACCCGGGCACCCCGGGGCACCCGGGCACCCCGGGACACCTCCAGGCACCCCCAGGCACCTCTGGGCCCTCCCGGGCACCCGGGCACCTGGGCCGGCCACCGAAATCGGCGACGCACCTCACCTAATCATATGAATCCGTTAGGACCCCAACAGAGGCAAGCTCTGATTGGGGACCATTGCACGGCAAACTCCGAAAACAGCCAACTCGCACAAAACATTCCTTTGACCGATATCTGTCTCATATTCCTCATCCCTTTCATCCTCATTTTCTCGACCTTCTCTGATTACACAGCCGTGACAATAGTTTCTTCAATTTGCGATGGCGGAGATATCTCCCATCCCTCGTAAGATTCCTAACATCCGGATGATGGCGCCATTCGGCGGAGTAGTTTCCGATCCAACTGATGCGTATAATTCTATGATCCCCAAACTAGATCGGAAACTACTCCGCGCCATACTCTTTAAAGTATCAAGCAGGATGCGCCCGCACGCGGAGCTGGAGTACTTTCACTCCAAAGTACTCCGCCCTGCTGCGCGATTGGACAAGGCAGATTGAGAGAAACTTTCGTCACGGTAATGTGTGCTTCCTGGACCCCTCGCATTCTTCCTCTTCCACCCTTTAGATCGCCATCGTGACTGATCCTGTTGACGTGAAATAGCGCCAGACTTTAGACGGCAGCATATAAAGACTGGCCAAACAAACTCCAGAAATCATGGACTCTTCTCTTATTCGTATTATTTCCATCTCCTCGTGCTCATCATCCATTTCGTCCTCACTTGTCTTCCCTCCTCAGCTTATTACTCACATCGGTTTCCTCTCCTCCTTCTATTCCTCCTCCATCGTTCCTTCGCGTGCCACAACTCGGCGCTGAACCAGCATAAAGGTACGCGACCAAACGCCGAAAAGACCAGTTCTGAACGGCCAAAGAAGCAGCCACGAAAACAACCAGCGGGGCGGGGGCGGCAGCAGAACGTGAGGCCCTTCGGATGAACTTTCGAAGACGCGCCAAAAACTATTGGGTGTGCGATGTGCCCCCTGCCCCTAAGATGTAGACTGGACGAGGAAAAATCCGGGTGAGGATAAATCGAGAATCTCTGAGATCCAGCGGCTCTGGAGGATATCTCGGGCGCAGAGCGTTCTGGAAAGCTCTAAGAGCGTCCCGGATCGATCTGGCACGGATTTATCCTCGTCATGGCCCCGTCCGACCTGCCCCACCTCTCTGGCGCGCGAAACACGCCAAGGGCAGCGCTGGAGGCGCCGCCAGGTGGGGTCGGTCAAGGGGTCCAGCGCCGACCGAAGAAATCCGAGCGAACATCCAGAAGCTTATGATTGTGCAGTTGTTGTGTGGCTCGAGAACTGATGGGGTCCGATTCGAAACGGCTCGAGCCAAAACGGCTGCGGGCATCTGCCTTGTAACGGTCTTGTTCGCCCCTGGCGAGGTGCGAGGCAATCGCGCAGGTCAGAGTTCGCAAAGCCAAAACGCGGAACGAACTGGCGGATCCAAAATTATATCGAGCATGCTCCGTGTATTGCTGTCGTGCTACACTCCCTCGCGCACGCGCACGCAGTTGCCCCGGGGATTCCTGGAGGCGGCAATTCTCTCCCCCGGCTCCGATCTAGGATCCCGCGAGTTGTTCGGGCCACGGGGTGAGGCTTAAGGAGCCCCAAGAGGCCATCAGGACGTGGGTGCCCCGTGCTCTGACTGGGTCCGCTGAAATTTCGTCTGGTGGGCGCCCGTGGGCGCCTCGTGGGCGCCCCGTGAGCTGGCTAGTTCCGCCGATGTTTCGTCTGGTGGGCGCCCGCATGGGACCCGCTGTAGTCTTTACCACAAAACTTGCGCCATGTTGCTTGCACCGCATAGATTCCCCCACATAGCTTGCTCAACACTAACTCCTTCTACTACGAAGCTTGCACCACATATGTTGCACCACATAGCTTACGCCGCATAGATTGCACGGCCTTGCTTGAACCACACACACATATATACCCCACGCGACATAGCTTGCCCGCATATACAGCATGACATAACTTACCCCACATATGTTGCAACGCATAAACGTATTGTACTGGGCAGCTTGCACAGCATGGACTGCACCACGTTTGCAGATCCAAAATGCAAGAAGGCACTGATTGGGGTCCACCCTGGCAAACATTACGGCTACTCGGAAGGAGAAGAAGGAGGAGGAGGAGGAGGAGGAGAACAGGTGCTGGCTGCAGAGAAATGGCAAGAGCGGCACATTGCGCGGCGCAGCTCCGCTCTAGGAGAGAGAAGACGAGCGCTGGGCGACGACGAAAACCAGGACCACGAGGAAGACGACGACGGCAATGGCGACGGTGACCACGACGGCGGCGAGCGACGACGACGGCAAGCAGAAGGTGGGCCGGTTGCGCGCGCCGAGGTCGCGACAGTAGCCGCCGAGCTCGGGCCGGCTGTTCACCAGCAGCCCGCAGCCAGGGCTCGCGCAGGCGAGCGCCGAGCGGAGGAGGGCCTCCTCGGCGCGCCCAGCCCCGCGCACATCCTCCCTGCTCCCTCCCCGCCCGTCAGGGTGGAGGACGAGGAGCCAGAGATCCAACGTATTGCAAAAACGAGCGCAAACTTTCCACAATTTTCGGCCTCTAGAAGCCCTCGCCCTGGACCCGGCACCGTCAAATAACTACTTGGGACGAAAAAAGCCGGTCTCAGGGAGTGGGTCGAGACCTGCGGGGACCGCGACTTGAACCGGGAGAGGAGGGGAGGGAGGAGGAGGAGGAGGAAGAGAAGTAAGAGGAGGATGAGGAAGGAGGAGGGGGGGGGGAGGGAGGAGGAGGAGGAGGAGGAGGAGGGAGGAGGAGGAGGAGGAGGGAGGAGGAGGAGGAGGAGGAGGAGGGAGGAGGAGGAGGAGGGAGGGAGGAAGGTGGAGGGGGGAGGGATGATGGAAGAGGAGGAGGAGGACGAGGAGGAGGAGGAAGAGGAGGAGGAGGAGGAGGAGGAGAGGAAGAGGCGCGAGGAGGGGGGAGGGAAGGGGGGGAGGAGGGAGGGGGGGAAGGCGGGGGGGAGGGCAGGAGGGGCGAGGAAGGGGGAAGGCGAGGCGCGAGGAGGGGGGCGATGAAGGGGAGGAGGAGGCGCGAGGAAGAGGGGAGGAGGGGGCGAGGAGGAAAGCGAGGAGGAGGGGCGAGGAGGAGCGAGGAAAAGGGGGGGGGAGGAGGAAAAAGGGGGCGGGAAGGGGAGGGGGGAGGACAGTGCGAGGAGGCACAGCGTTCCCCATGTCTGCTGATCCTCTGATGGAGGCACACGAGACGATTTAAGGAGTGCAGGGGGCCTCGCCCCGTCCTCCCCCCCCCGCCACGCTTCGGGCCAGCCGCGCCGAAAGGAGGGGGGCGAGAGAGAGGACGAGGGAGAGGAGGGGAAGGATCACAATGGCTAGGAGCGAGGAGGCGAGGCCAGAACGCGTTCGCCATGCATCTCCATCCGTTCAATCGAGAGGAGACGGGCAATAATTCGCCGGCCCAACGGGCCAGAGGCGTGCTAAGATCTCCGGTAACTGCTCAACAATATTTCTAGTTCGCGCGCGCGGGGCGGGCCCTGGGGGTCCCCTGACGAAAAGTACCCCGGCAAGGTCCTGGCAAGGTCCCGGGAGACTCCCGGCAGACTCCCGGCAGACTCCCGGCAAGGTCCCTTTTCGGAGGCCAGGAGGGCTCCAAACGGTCCAAGAGAGGCCCGAAAAGCCCTCCAGACGGTCCAAGAGAGCCGGGAGACGCCGAACTATCACTCCCAAGCGCCTGCGATGGCCTCAAGCCGGCCCAACAGGCCTTCAAGACGCCCCAAGAGGTCCCTAAGAGGCCCCTTGAGCGGCGTCCCAAGAGGGCTCCCACTAGCAAAAAACGCTCGATTCCCTTGGGAAAACGTGCATGTTTAACAGATCCGCCTCTTCGTCTTTCACACCTTTCAAGGCGGTCCAAGAGGGCCCCAAGATCCCCCCCAGACGGCCCGAGAGACCCTCAAGACCGCTCAAAGACGGCCCAAGAGCGCTCCAAGAAGGCCCAAGAAACCCTCAAGAACTCATATCACCCCCAAGCGCCTACGGTGGCCTCAAGGCGGCCCAACAGGCCTTCAAGACGCCTCAAGAGGTCCCTAAGCGGCGTCCCAAGAGGGCTCCCACAAGCAAGCATCGCCCCACTCCCTTAGGAAAGCGTGCATTGTTAACATATCCGCCTCTTCGTCTTTCACACCTTTCAAGGCGGTCCAAGAGGCCCCCAATATCACCCCAAAACGGCCCGAGAGACCCTCAAGACCGCTCAAAGACGGCCCAAGAGCGCTCCAAGAAGGCCCAGGAAGCCCTCAAGACGGTCCAAGAGGCCCCAAGACGGCCCCGTGATTGAGGTCCACAGGGGCAACCTGAACGGAAATGTTGACCCTCCTGCCCAAACACGCCCCCGAAAGGCCCCTGCAAGCCCCCAAGTAGCCCCACGAAGCCCTCAAGAGAGCCCCAAGAGGCCCCCAACAGGCCGCAAGAAATCCCCAATAGGCCCCCAATATACCCCCAGGAAGCTCCCAGGAGGCCCCCAAGAGGCCAGGCAAACCCCCCAAGAGACCACCAAGAGGGCCCACCCAGAGCCATCCGCGAGGCCTCCCAAAGTTCCCAAGAAGCTCCCACGAAGCTTCAAAAGGCTCCCAAGACCCCACGAAGCCTCCGAGAGCTCCCAAGAAGCTTCCCAGAAGCCTCCAAGGGCCCCCAAGAGGGGCACAAGTACTCCTCCTGAGAACCTCCTTAATGCTCCCAGAAGAGACTCCCAGAAGCATCCATGAGCTCGCCGAGATGCCCCCTCCCCAGATCCCCAACACTCAGTTTTTCTCGCGCCCCTCACCCTTGGATCCTTCACTGCGTTTTCCTCCAATTTCGATTGGATGAGGATGAGCTTGGGATTGTCCTGGAAATGTGCGGGGGGCTCTGGAGGTCAGCGTAAATTATGAGAGGTTGTCGGTTGCGTGTCTTCTGTAAGCACAATCAACAATATGAATAATGGAAAGACCGCACATACATCACCGATCCCCAAACGGCCCACATGTGTACGCATTCGGCAACGTGCACGATGTGGGATGTCAAGCACGACTGGCCCCGTCCTCCTCGATGCGGTCGCCCTCATCATCCTCCGCCTCCACCTCCTTCTATCCGTCCCTCCCTCCCTCATATCCCTGCCCCACCTCCCTCCCTCCCTCATATCCCTGCCCCACCTCCTCATATGTCCTCCCAAAGTGGGGTTGGACGGACCCCGGGCGAACCCTCAGGAACCCCGACAACATACAGGAATCCCTGCAAAGCTCCGAGGAGGAGGAGGACGGGGAGGAGGAGGAGGAGGAGATGGAGCAGGAGGGGGAGGGGGAGCATCAGCAGCAGCAGCGGCAGCAACAGAACGGCCCACGAGACGCCCGAACGGCCCAAGAGAGCCCCAAGAGGGCCCCAAGAGGGACCCGAGAGAGGGAACACGAACCGACAATTCGAGACTTCCGCCCCAAGCAGCCCCCATGAGGCCCCAAGAGGCCTGCAACAGACCCCAAGAGGCCTAAACAGAAGCCCCAAGAAGCCCCCCGACGGCCCCCAAGAGCCCTCAAAACTGCCTCCAATGAAACCCTCGAAAGGCCTGCCACGATATCTCAACGAACATCCAAGAGGCCTCTGACCTACAACCCAGGCACGGTGGCGGGATGGGCTGAAAACCACTAGATAGCCACCTCGTAAGACAGTAGAGGCCGAAGCCCCCACAAACAAGCTCCAAACAAACTGCTTCATCCCCATGCGTTCTGCCGCAACGCCTCTGAAAAACGACCACGGCCCACCAGCGCCGCCTGGCTCGCGACCGCGCAAGCAAACGCCCGCGATGGCACAATACGGGCCGGCGGAATGAGCGAAGCGATTCAATAAGGCCGAGGAAGAGGAGGAGGAGGAGGCAGAGGAGGGAGGAGGACGAGGAGAGAGCTCCTCCTTTCTCCTCCCCCGCCTCCTCCAGCTCGTCCTCTCCCTGCCTCTTCCGTCTCCCTCCCCGCGCCCACCTCCGCCCCGCCCGGCCAGTAGAGCCCCAAATCGAGTCGATAGGTCGGATCGGCGATCGAAATGAATCGGATCGGCGGAAATCGGCAGCCGAGTCGGGAAAAGTTGGCTCGGCGGAACTCGGCAGGCTAGTATGCAACCATTAGCCACCTACGGGACACAGCTTTTGAAACACTGGTCCCGTGGCGATTCGCCGCTAAGTGCAAGTTGCGGGGGATGAAAAATGCGGAGGCGAAGCGCAAGGCGCGTGCGGCAGCAAAGGCGGCCCAGCAAGGGCAGGGATAGGAAAGGAGAGGGACGGCGAGGGGCGGGGGCGGTCGGGTCGGTGGTGATAGTGGCAGTGGTGGTGGTCATGGCGCCGTCGTGCTGGCCGTGGTCGTGGTCGTAGTGCTGGTCGGCGGTGGTCGCAGCGGTGAAGGTGCTGGCGCTGGTCGTGGTCGCGGCATCGGTGGTCGTGTGGGTCGTCGTGTTCAGAATCGTCGTTGTGGTGGTGGTGGCGGCAGTGGTTGTCGTGCTGGTGGCGGTCGTGGTGGTCTGGGTTCGTGGCTGTGGTCGCGGCCGCTTGCGGTGGTCACTCCCCTCCCTCCCTCCCTCACTCCACTCCACCCTTCCACCATCCCTCCCAAGAAGCCTCCAGAGCCTCGACCTTAATCCAGTCAAGCGCCCTAATTTCAGCACGTGTGAAGAGGCAGGTCGAGTATTTAGAGACGTACGGCCGGGAAGCCCTGAGAAAGAAAAGGTGCAGCTGGGACGGGGGTGAGAGCACGGCAATTCCTCAGTGGATTCTCTGATGTTTCACAAGGGGGTCGTGGCAGTCCAGATCGGTAGCGGCCGATCGGCACTCCGAATCGATCGCGACCGATCGCGGTCGATCTGTCGTGAACGAGTTTGAAGCAAATCAGTCGCGACCGATTTCGGAATCTGCAGACAAATCGGTAGCGACCGATCTCGTCGGTCGCGCCCAGGAAATCCTGGCGTCCAGGGTCGCCGTCGCCGTCGGCAAACGCCGTCGCTAGAAGAAACAACTTCATAACCATATTTTGGAGATCCGCGCGGATTTCTTGAATCCTCGTCGAACCCCACTCCCTGGCGCGCGGAGCGCGCCAAGGGCGGCGCCAGGGGCGCCGCCAGGGGGCCCTAGCGCTGATCCGATAAATTCGCGCGGACCGTCGAAAGTTCACGTTTATGCAATGTTCTCTTCTTCGAGAACGTGGTTCGGAGGCGACGAGAGGGGCGAATAGCCCAGGGGCGGGCATCACACGCGTTCCTCCGAGAGCCACGCCGAAGACGTGGACCATCGGCCGCTTCGGATACATGTATTGCTCCCCCCCTAAGCTATTTGCCCCGACCGTCGCCTCCGAAGGGCCGCAGTCGCCGTCGGTGGACGCCGTCGCTCACGCGTCGTTGAGATCCGTCGTCGTCGTCGTCGTCGTCATGGTGGTCGTGGTCGTCGCGGTGGTCGTCGTCGTCATCAAGTCTTCGTCGTCGTCGTCGTCGTCGTCGTCGTCATCGTCGTCGCGGTCGTCGCGGTTGTGGTCTTGGTTGTGGTCGTCCTCGTCGTCGTCGTCGCCGTCGGCAGACGCCGTCGCTCCCGCACGACGGACGCCGGGGGCACGGCCGCCGCGGCGGGGCGCCGCCCCGCACGGGGGGAGCCGCTCGCCACCGCGGGCTGCCCGGCGTCTCGCTCACCAGGCCACGCCTCGAGGCGCGCGCGCCGCTCGCCGGGCCGCTCGCCGACGACGACGACGACGACGACGGCGACGACGGCGACGGCGACGACGAGGACGAGGACGAGGACGAGGACGAGGACTAGGGCGCCGACGACCACGACGACGACGCCGACGACGACGACGACGACGACGACGACGACGACGACGACGACGACGACGGCACCGACGACGACGACGACGACGGCGCCGCCGACGACGACGACGACGACGCTGGCGCGCGCGCCACACGCTGGACCCATCGAGGCCCGGGTGTTCGAGGCTCAGTGCTTCGAGGATCGAGGATCGGCGGTCGAGGAGAAAAGTCCGAGGCTCTCGGGGGACCTCTGAGGGCTCCGGACGACGTGGGTCGTCCGTCGTCCGCCGTCGTCGTCGCCGTCGTCATCAAGTCGTCGTCGTCGTCTTCGTCGTCGGCGTCGGCAAGGTCGTCTTCTTCGCGCGGGTCCCGCGCTGCACTTCTCAAGGGGGAAGGACGAGGAGGAGGGAATAGGAGGAGAAGTGAGAAGGGAGAAAGGGAGCGAGCGAGAAGACACCGTTTTCGAGAAGAACGACAAGGATTTAAGAGGAGGAGGAGGAGGGAAACAGCGCATACGAAAGACCCTCAACCCACCCCCGAGGTGGCGACGGCGAGGAGGAGGAGGCGGCCCTCTGGAAAGGCTGTATGCGGGAGCTCTATCCCCCGCACTCGCAAACGGGCGCCGCGCCCGGCCGCGCGCGCGCGCCACTGGCGGGGCCGGCCTCAGCGCGCCGCCGCACCATAGGAGGGGGGCGGCGGCGACTGCACTTCAGCAGCTTCAAGATCGACGTGAAATACCTCGAGATCAACAAGACGGACATCTTCAACATATCGACGGGCTACGAGACCTGCCCACCTTTGTGGAGGCCCACCGGCAAGTATGCCGAGGCCATACACGTATAGAGAAACACAGGCGCGAACAGACGCAGCCCAAAAACGAGTGGGGTATAACGTCGGACAAGAGATACAGCCTCGACCCGACGACATCATTATCATTGCTACGACCGTCCTCGCGCGGGCGTCCAGGCACGAGCTGCATAACAGGCAGCCCAAGCCCAAGTACGAGAACGCGCTGCGTAACAGGCAGCCCGAGGACGAAAACAACCACCAATACGACACCAAGGCGACTACGCAAACACGCAACACCGACGCAAAGCAGTGGCGTCCCACGCCGGGCTATTCGCCAGCGCGGCAATGTGGGGCGCCGCGGCTCTTATTCGGACACAGGGACAGGCCGACAAAGAAACGCGGGCCAGGCAATGGGCAAAAACGGACAGCGAGGAGCCGAGGAGCGAGAAGGGGAGGGGGAGAGGGAAGGAGGAGGACAGGAAAGGACAGACCGGGCCGACAAACAGACGGACGGGGAGACAGGGAGGGGGAGCCAAGCAGAAGGGAGAAGGGAGCACACGACACCAAGCACGACACCAAGACCGACACAAAGAACGACACGACCGAGCAGCCCGAAGGTGTTTCTAAGTAAGTCGTGGTGGAGGTACAGGTGACTACGGCCGCGCCGCCTACGACGAGTCCGACTACGACGTCGATAACAGGCACGGCGAGCACAACTTGTATGACGAATGCACCGTATGCGGCCTCCTCACCTTGCCACTAGAGATGCGAGGGCTACAAGCAGAGCTACGGGGTCCACAAGCAGAGTTACCAGAGCAACCTGCTACGCGGCGTGGGCCACCAGCGCTTCGAGAACCACAAGCTCTGCTCCGAGGGCCACCAGCAAAGCTTCGAGTACCACCAGCCGAGCGTCGAGGACCACCAGCTGTGGCACCAGTGCCACCTACCGAGCTACCTGCGCGTGGCCAGTACGATCTCCTGAATGACGCGGGCACCTAGAAAGTGGAATACCACGACTTGGCAGCCGTGGATTCCGACTCAGACCTAGTGGACTCCCACGTGGACAGGTCCCTCGATTACTTTCTGAACCAGGCTTAAGAACAATAGGAGGGCATCCAAGCTCCACAGCGAGGACCAGCGGAGCTCCGACGAGCAGCAGAACTACGAGAACCTCCAGAAGAACGTCGAGAACAACCAGTCGAACTATGAGGACAACAAGAGCTTCGAGAGCCAAGGGCAGAACTACGAGACCCATCTGTCGATCGAATTACAAGAGCCGCAAGCAAGGCTACGAGGACCACCAGGCGATCTACTGGAGCCACCAGCTCAGCTACCAAGGTCACGAGAAGAGCTTCGAGAGTCGCCGTTAGAGCCACGAAGCCCACCTGCAAAGCTACGAGGGTCACAACCTCAGCCGCCAGAGCAACAAGCAGAAATACTACATCCACCAGCAGGGCTAGCAGTAATACTGCCAGCCCTTCGAGTACCACACGCCCCGCTACGAGGACCACAGGCACAGCTACTAGAGCCACCTCCAGAACTACGGGGACTGCAGGCTCAACTAACTAAAAAGGCCACAAGCAGGGCTACGAGGACCACCAGCTGAGTCAAGAGGCCCTCAAGCTCAGCTACGAGAGCCACAATCAGGGCAACGAGGACCACCAGCTGCACCACGAGGGCCACCAGCCGAGCTACGAGAACTACAGGCAAAGTTACGAGGACAACCAGCTTAGCTACCGGAGGCACGAGGCACTAGACCTGCTTCTTGCCGAACCGCTGAACGGCGAACAGGTCTAGGAGAGCGACTATGATGACGACGAGTGCGACGAAGAGAATGAGAAGAGCGACGCGGAATACGAGAAAGACCAGGAGGACAGATCAGATGACCACAAGTCAATTTCTCAAAACTAAGAGCACACCATAGAAAAACCTTACTTTCGACGGTCGTTGTGTATAAAAGCAGTGGGAACGCCAACCGGAACACCGACATCTGGAAGGCACAGTACTGGGACTTGGCTAGCGACGACTCTGAGGGGTCCCTCGAAGCCGAGGCCACCTCGCGCTACAAGGGGGCTCCGACGGGAAAGTACAAGTCCGAAGGGAAATCAAATGGCTATACCACCCCATCCTACGGAAAAGGACCACCTGCAAAGTTACCACGGCCACAACCTGAGCTTCGAGGAGCAAAGCTACCAGGGCCACAAACAAACTTTCGAGGACCACGAGATGAGCTACGAGGACCACAGGCGCAGCTACGAGAGCCATCAGAAGTGCTTCAAGGCCCGCCAGCTGAGCTACGAGAGAGACCAGCAGAGCTACGAGAGCCACAAGCTGAGCTACAAGGACCACAAGCCGAGCCACTACGACCACAGGCACAGCTTCTACAACCACCAGCAGAGCTACCAGAACGACGAGCTGTACTGCAAGGGCCGCGTGCAGACCTTCGAGAACCACCAGTTCAGCTACGAGAGCTTCTTACCGAGCTAAGAGAAACCCAACTTGAGCTACGCGGGCCACACAGAGAACATCTAGAGCCTCCTGCAGAGCTACCAGAGCGACAAGCTGAACTGCAAGGACCCGGAGCTCAGCTTCGAGGGCCACCTGCTCACCTACGAGGCCCGCAGCCTGATCTACGCGGTCCGCACGCAGAGCTACCAGAGCCTCCTGCAGAGCGACCAGGGCAACGAGCTGAACTGCACTGCCTACCAGCTGAGCTACAAGCTGCGCTACGAGGGCCGCAACCAGAACCACGAGACCCGCCAGAAGTCCTACCGGGGCCACCTGCTGTTCTACAAGAGCCCCAAGAGCCCGCAGCAGAGCTACCAGGGCCACCAGCTGAGCTGCGCCCCCCACGCTCTGAGCTGCGGGAGCCACCTGCAGAGCTATGGGGGCCCCCAGCAGAGCTACCGGACCAGCCGCTGCATTATGAGGTCCACATGACGAAGTCCAAGGCCTACGGAAGACCTGGACTACCAAAAAGTCGATCGCCATCGGCGACGCAGTACATGGCAGGCCGGGCAATACGTACCACGATTGCGTCATGTCCGCCAGCATCCGCTGGCTGGATGGCTCTACGTGCTGGCTCCAGCGCGCAGCACTCAGTAGACCGCAGAAGCTCCGGTGAGACCAGCCTACCAGAAGCCGCCGACGATGGTTATCCAGCACACTGTCTCTCCCATGTATGGCGGTAGTACTCGCTCTACAGCGCTACGGACAAGGGTATTGCGTGTACCTCGCTACATACAAGATAGCACCTCTACAGCATTCACGCGCTGTTGAGACGATTAACTGGTACTTCTTCTGCAGCGTTGCTCACAAGGTACGGCATGTACAACGCTACAGGCAAAGTGCTACGCCATCGGCAACCACTCCGACATCCCTTGAGTGGCCCCGCAGCCGCTTTCCCCCTCCCCTTTCGTCGGCGGCCCCAGGTGTGGCAAAGAATGTTGGTGGCCTCTCCCCCTCTCTCCTCCTCTCCGCCGCGCGGCGCGAGGCGGGCGCGGGTGAGTATGGGTGACGCGCTCAGCGACTGCGAGAGAGGCCCCATGGAACCCTAAAAAAACATCCTCTTGCTCCCCCCGTCCTGCTCTGACTCCTCCCACCTCCTCGTCTTCCCGATTCGGGCCCATGGCACATCAAACTACGGGCCACGGCAGACGTCCAGTCGTTGGGACGGGGTTGAGAGCTCCGAGGTCCTGCGTCGCGAAAGAAACACGACTTCGGAGAGATTGCTCCCCCTCTACCTCCTCCTCCTCCTCCTCCTCCTCCTCCTCCTGGTCCTCCTTCTCCCCATCCCCCTCCTTCTCGTCATCATCGGAATCATCATTACCATCACCATCACCGTAACGGTTATCATAATCACCACCACTGTCATCATGACCTCCACCACCATCATCACCAAGGCCACCGTCATCAGCAAAATCATCACTGACATCCTCACGCTCGTGCTCATGATCATCCTCAGCATCATCACCATCACCGTCACCACCAAAATCATCATCATCAGCGCCATCACCATCACCAGCATGACCATCACCATCGACATCACCATCGTCATCATCATCAACACAAAATTATTCTTCATCGTCATCATCATCACCATCATCATCAGCATTAACACTGACATCATCATCAGTACCATCATCATCAGCATCATCATCCTCATCAACAACATCATCATAATCCGCCGGCCCCCCTGTGGGGCCACCAGGCTGCGAGGAGCGGGATTCGCAGTTTCCTGTACCAGTTGTAGCTTGTAGTTTCAAGTGTTACAGTTCTGCTTATTGCTGGTTACTGTAACTAGTTGGTTGACCGCGCGAGGGGGGGGGGAGGCCCAAACCGGCTTTTTAGCGTCCCCTGGGCGCGTTGTCTGAATTGCTGGGGGGGCTCGAAATCGCCACCCCTCACGCAGATCCGCGGGGTCAGGGTCCAAAAACAAATGGGATTTGCCACATTTCTGAAATTCGGTGCCACCCCTCACGCAGATCCGCGGGGTCAGGGTCCAAAAACACAAGGGATTTGCCACATTTCTGAAATTCGGTGCCACCCCTCACGCAGATCCGCGGGGTCAGGGTCCAAAAACACAGGGATTTGCCACATTTCTGAAATTCGGTGCCACCCCTCACGCAGATCCGCGGGGTCAGGGTCCAAAAACACATGGGATTTGCCACATTTCTGAAATTCGGTGCCACCCCTCACGCAGATCCGCGGGGTCAGGGTCCAAAAACACAGGGGATTTGCCACATTTCTGAAATTCGGTGCCACCCCTCACGCAGATCCGCGGGGTCAGGGTCCAAAAACACAAGGGATTTGCCACATTTCTGAAATTCGGTGCCACCCCTCACGCAGATCCGCGGGGTCAGGGTCCAAAAACACATGGGATTTGCCACATTTCTGAAATTCGGTGCCACCCCTCACGCAGATCCGCGGGGTCAGGGTCCAAAAACACAGGGGATTTGCCACATTTCTGAAATTCGGTGCCACCCCTCACGCAGATCCGCGGGGTCAGGGTCCAAAAACACAGGGGATTTGCCACATTTCTGAAATTCGGTGCCACCCTTCACGCACATCCATCGCAAGGCGTGGTAACCCAAACTGCGAGAACTCCCTCGGCCCTTTAATCGCAAGGTGTGGTAACCAAGCCCGTAAACCATACACGTCTTACCAATCGCCAGGTGTGGTAACCCCTCTTGTGATCAGTTGGTTTTGCTGATTGCGAATCGGCTTCGCATGAAGTTTCGATACTGCTTCACGACAGCGCCAAGGCCTCATGACTTAGCTCTTCCATGGCCCATTCTCCGAGAGAGGGGGCCGGAGGCAGGGGGCGAAGCCCTTACGGATAATCATCAGCAACATCCTCAGAATCACCAGTACAATCAACATCATCATCAGCATCATCATCAGCATCATCATCATCCTCATCAGCATCAGCATCAGCATCAGCATCTTCATCATCATCAGCAGCAGCATCATCATCATCCTCATCAATGTGTGTGTGCTGGACTTCCGCTCCTAGCCGCCACGGCTGACCACCTCGGGAAACGGGTCAGGATGGAGCCCCACCCAGGCCAGGTTGCGTCGAGCCAACACGGCCGACACCGTTCCTCAGCGCAGCTTCCAGGATGCATGCACAAAACAAAGACAGCTAATGCTTTGCCTGGGGAGGCTCGCCCATCGCGCCGGACGCACTCACGAATGTATGCGAAGCCTGACGAATCGAGCAACAAAAGATGCGCCCAGCCCTGGCATTCACGAGGCTCCATTCGGCCACGCTGCTGGGCCCGCTCCTGGCCGCACACAGCACAGGGCACCCCTCAGAGCCAGAGGAGTCCGCGGGGCCCTGACCCCCACGAGGGCCCCGACCCCAGCATGCTGGTGGTGGCCCTCGCCAGGCCGAGCAACACGGTGCGCACCTGCACGCCCTCGCCCGCCACCCCACGCACAGAGCCCGAGCGACGCCGCCCTCCGCAACCTGGGCACGCGGAGCTCGCGGAGGAGCCGCGCCACCCCGCGCGGCGAGCCGCCGGCTCTGGAGGCCCAAAGCGGCAGAATCGTCCGAGCACGTCGATCGTTCCGTTCCGTTTCGTTTCGTTCGAAGCGGTGCCGCACCCCGCAGGCCGAGGCGCGCGCCAACCGCGTCCCGATGCCCGCGGCGCTCGCTCCCTGTCGGCTCCGGAATCACAATGCGGATCGGTGCACCATTACTGCTCTGCCACTGCTCGCCCTCAACACCTGCACTGACCTCACTGTTGTAGCTGATGGCGTTGGGCTCCCTCAATTCCCCACCTTCCCCGCATGCGCATATCGCAACACCGCAACTAACAAATGTCGGTTGAGTATCTCTGGCCACACCTCGCTGAACAACGACACCGCCTGCCACTAGCATTGTACGGGATGCCGTCGGGCTCCATGCTCGCCTGCCGCATCTCACTGAGCAACGACAGTCGCCGCTGACCGCCATTCCCGCA